GGCATGGAAAGAGCACGTTGCATGGGGTTCAGATACTGCTCTGTGTGCTGCTGGGACAGCTAGGAGAGAGAAGGGTGGTATAAAATAGGCAACAGTCTCCAGCACATGGAGCCATCACATTCTCTCCGAATATAGAGTTATAGATGGTTGGAAAAGACCTCTCAGATCCCCAAGTCCAACCCCAGGCCACCCCACCATGCCCACAGACCACAGTCCTCAGTACCACATCTCCACAGCTCGTGAACCCCTCCAGGGATGGTGACTCCACCACCTGCCTGGGCAGCCTATGCCACTGCTCTTTTGGAGAATAAATTATTATGTGTTCAGTGGTACAAAAAGGGCGTAAACAAACAGCATGCCAGCTGCAGATAAACCTTGTATCCGTGGTGGCTCTTGGCACAGGAGATGAGTAAATTTTATTAACATTGTCATTTCCAATCCACCTCATCATAAAGGACTTGGACGTTTTCTATTACAGTTGCAGATCTACCTTAACATCACAAAAGCACAATGCGGGAAATTAGATATAAACTGGAAAATAATTAAAGGCCTGGTGACAACTTGATAACGTTGTGTAATTAAAGCATTGGTAACAAATCCTGAATTTTAATTTTTCTTGCTGTAGCTGATACTAGAAATCAAGATCAAATGTACATTCTCTATAGGAAAGCTAACTTGATTATGTGTTGTTTAAAGAGGAAAGGGAAAGAGATGAAAGCTGAGTTGTGCTACAGTCCAGCAACAGATGAAAATGTGCTGGAGCTGAGCTTTGCCTTTGTGGACATTTGGTGGTGGTCATTCCATGATCCATCACATCTGCCCAGTCATCACAGCCCTGCTAAAGGAATTGGCCCAAAAACTGCTTTGGGGGAAAGAAATGAGATTTTGGGGCTGAATGGGAGAATAAGGGCAATGGCCTGTCATTGCCCTGATGCCCACAAAGGCATCTTTTTCCTCTAATAAGAATATATAGTATTAATGGTTGATATTGTGTCAAACATATGTTTAAACAACATCACTGGAGTCCATAAGCTGTATCAGAAGTACAAAGAGCACCAGAGGATGAATGCAGGGAGGCACTTTGGCTCTGGTAGCATGCTTAGCTCTGTTATCTTTTCCACTTCTGATCCCTCTTTTGCTATCTCAGTGTTTCCCATCCCACCTGACACCATGTTTGTGATATTGCTATTCAGCCCTCACTTGGGCTTGCAGCAAATATCAAGTTGTAAGCAGCAAACAGAAGGAGGTGGTGTTCTGGTAGGACTGGGACATGGGAATGTCCAGGGAGCTGACACCTGGCTGCCTTCCCAGAGAGGAGACTATGATGGAACAAAGCACAAACACCCCGCAAAACGCAGACTGTGCTCACAGAAACCAGGTTTGGCTTCTCCTACCTCTGCCAGAGCTGAGCAGCACAGTAGCAGATTGTAAAGGGACTCAGGGCCCTGCAACTCTATCAGTTTTGATCAATTTTTCAGCCAAGTTAGTAATACACTGGAGAATGTGTCAACATGCTTTATGGAGGTCTGCAAGTGCCTACCATGGCTAATCCATAACACTCAAATGGTTTCCTGGAAAACAGACATTTCGTTGTCACCGCGAGGAGATTGCTAAGCAGTGGGGGAGAAAAATAGAGGAAAACCATGGGGCTGCTGCAGGCACTGCAGTGTGGGGCATGGCTTAGCAGCAGCACCCAAGGGATTGGCACTGCTTGGGGAAGCAGGAGACCAATGGTGCTTCTCTGTTTAATGGAAACTGGCAATCAATTTTTAGCAGCTGGTGGAGAAGCAATTTAAGTCACAAAACAGTTTCCCTCCCATTCCTCTGCCCCCCAGGTCTGAAATCATGCTATGAGCTGTTGGCTTAAGCTGCTTGCTTTAGGCGTAACGAGTAAGTAGGACATTTAGTCACTTAAATACGTGAACGGTTCTAAATATTCTAGTTTTATCAGTTTGTTATAAAATTATTTTGCTTTCAGAGTTGTTCCAAAGCCTTTTCTGAGGTGGCTGTTCAGAATGGGGCACTCCGACTACCCTTCCCCTACCCACCAGCTGCTGAAAGCTTACTTGAAATTGCTGTTAAGCTAGCCAGTGCCTGGACTTCTTCCAAGGCATCCAGTGGATCTCTGAGCTCCCTTCCAGCCTGGGTTTTTCCATGGTTCCATGATTCCATGATTCATCTTCTATGTTCTGAACCCTTGATACACTTTGGGTGTCCCACAACGCTGCAGAAGCTGGAAATTTAATATTACCATTTTCCCTTAGCAAGTTTGCCCTTAGCAAATGTACAATTAAAGACGTGCTAGGAGAGCTGGGACACATCTCTGCTCACCCCACAGCATTGCTCCTGTACAGTGTGTCCTTGTATCACATGTGCTCATGGCATACATCTGCCCTACAGACCAGTACTGACTGTGCTACTGCCAATCCAATCTTTCTCATCTACTTTCTCTTCTTATTTGTAGGACAATAACTGGTCTCAAAGGAGGAAGAAAATATTGCCTGGAGATCTGACTACTAACCCTGAGGAAAATCTCCTGACTTTTTCTCACAGTAACTGTTCCAAAGTGTGGCCATTTTCAGAGATTACCAGTTTCCTGAAAACTCTTTTTTTCTCCCACAGTGTTTAATATAAAATACTTTTCTTTTCTACAGCCTACAAAAGAAGGCTAATCTGAAAAGTGAAAGCCAAGTCCTTTGCTCTTCCCTGTGCTGAGCCTCAATGGAGAGAAACACACTCCCCCAGCAGCAAGCACATCGTACTGCTGTACTGCTGGCTGCAGCCTGGCTCATGCAGGACAGGCGGGCAGCGAGTGATCTGCTGCCAAATGACCTCTGTCAGCACTCAGAAAGAAAAAGACAACAGCCACCTGTGTTACCAGGAAAGGCCAAGCTCAACTAATGGGAAGCCAAGAGAAGAGAAAGAGCGGAAAAAACGTCCTTGCATCACCATCTAGTGGCCTCTGTGTTCAGCAGAATAAATCCAGCACCCATAGATCCTTTCTTGTGGATGATTCCTCTGTTAACCATATTGCAATCTGCCAAAAGGTGAGTGAGAACAGTGCTATGACTGCATCAGGAATGCTGGGCTGTCAAAGCACCTGGATGTGATGTATTTCTGCAGTACAGCTGTAAACGATTCAGTTTTCTACTGAATGTTCCTTGGAAAGTTTCCAGGCTCTCTGCTTCAGCCACAAGCCTTGCTGAAGGAGCGTATCTCAGAGATTGTTCTCCACAGCCTTCTCAGTCAGTCAGTTCTGCTGACTGTCTAACAGGGACAGACCCTAGCAATCCTCTGCTCTCCTGTACACCACTGCTTGCTCTGCTCTGAGATGAGGTGTTCTGAATCCTGCTGATGAAGTGCCATGAGCAGGTCCCAGCCCTTCCCAGTCTGCAGCTGTCTTGTGCTGGAAGCAGCACAAGAACATAGGAGTTGAAATTCTGAGTGTGTTTTTTCCTGTTGAAGTCCTGTGAGCTACTGAGAGTAAAGGGAATGCTTTACCATAACTGTCTTTGTTCTCATAGATAAATATTTTTAATGCTTAGTGGTCTGTAGAGCAAAAGCTGGTCAGGCCTTGAAACAAACAGCCCTTCTCGAGGTGGCCATGTCAGACTCCCCTCTGCCCTCTCCTTCACTCTATGATTACAGCTACATGAGAGATATGACCTCTAGTCAAACAGTCTGACAAAGGGTGTTTTTAGCGTTCTAAAAGAGCTGTGCCAGCAGCCAGCCTTTAATGGAAAGGCAGGAAGGGTGTGTTAAAAAAAAATGGATTTCCATGATTCAGTTCTGGGGGAGTTGGGTCATGAGTTTCCAAACTACAAGGCTTGCAAGTATTTGGTGGTGCAGGTCCAGGGCTTGTCTCTGCAGTCTGATGGAGCTGGAGGGGACATGGCACTGTGTGAGTGATGCTGAGCCTTGTGGAGTCCTGGAGGACCAGCAGTTGTGTGGGGAAACACAGCTGCTTTGTCTTTCTAGAGGAACTAAATCCTTAGCTTTAGACATTGCCCTCAGAGTCCAAAAACCTGTCTTCCTATTTGCACGAAACACACAGCTCAGCGCAGCTCAGGGCAGCACCTTGCCAGCACACCCCAAAGCACAACATGCCCGGCTGCCCCGAGGGCTGGCATTGCAGCAGGGTTGTGCACAAGGCCCTCTTGTCTCCTGTGCTGCCGAACAAAGGCTACTGCTGTGCACTAATGCCAGCTCGGCGCTGGGCTGGGTGACGGGTCGGGCAGGGATTAGCTTCCAGTCAGCACACAACGAGCTCTCAGCATCTCGCAGCTCCCAGAAGCTGGAGGTTTCTCTTCAGCTCCTGTTGCTTCGGAAAGGTTTGGCTGTGGGGTGCTCAGGGCTGCGTGGCGTGGGCAGTGCTTCCTGTGAGGATGGGATGGGAGAAGTGCAGTGGGGGGGGAACAGCAGGATGGCTATGGTGGGGAATGTAGGGGGCCTGGCTGTATGGCTCCTTGTGGAGCAGAAACATGGGGTCCTGCTCCTGCCCTGTGCCCACTCTCCTCTCTGGGGACAGCTGGGACTTCAGATGTTGGCTGGAGGCAGTGCGGGGCTGGGAAGTGGAGAAGGAGTTCAAAGCAAATTAAAAAGCAAATAACATAGCCTCTCGATCTGCCCGGTGGCGGCTGACATCCCTCATCCACTTCCACTGGAGTTGTAAAGGCTTTACGCTCTCACTCTGTCCTTTTATTTCCCCTTGAAAACACCACAGCTCCCTGCCCAGGCATTTCCCATGTCACTGTCTGTACGAGGAGGACGGCGCGGCAGATGTCACCGCTTGGGCAGGGCTCGGGTTTCCCCCTCATCGCTCAAGTGACGCTGCTATCCCAACAGGTGCTGGCCAGAGGCCACCAGCAGCGTCCCCAGAGGTCGAGCAAGAGGCTGGTGCTGGTGGCAATGCTCACCTAGGAGCCGGGTGATACGCCGGCCTCCACGCCGTGCCACGAGCACACGGCCAGGCTGAGGGAGCCCTGGCACCAGCCCACACCATGGAGCCCACCTCTGAGATGAAGAGGTAGGTGGGGTGGGGAAGGGGTCCCTGTGTCATGAGCAGCCATTTTTGATTTGAGAATAAAAGCACATGTGCCCGCATCCTGGGAGGGATGGGGGTGAGGGAGGCTTTGTGAAGAGAGACCTCCTGTGTTTGCACGTGATGGAAAGAAAGAGATCCTGGGCTCGTGTTTCAGGGCTTCATTCAGCCTTCAGGGATGCAGGAGAGGGACTCCTTGTGCCTCTATACCTGCTGCTGCCAGGGGGAGCCTTTGGCTGCCATGCTCAGTGCTCCCAAAAGGTATCCACCTTCCCAACAATTAGTGCTAATCAGTCTTAGGAACCCTGCCTGCAGAGAAATGCTGAAAACCTCAGTAGGAGAGTTAATTTGGCATCCTCCCTCCTGGTGAATGCTTGTACTGAACAGTCCATCCAGGCCTCCTGGCAGGTCTTCTGTGGTGGCTGGAAACATTTGACCTGTTAGAAATGGAGTATGCATCCCCAGACTATCCCTGGAAAAATCATGCCATCTCTCAGTATTATGGTGGGAGATTTAGCCTGAAAATCACCTTGCTTGGTTTAGCCAGCTGAGAGGACAAAATAGTCCTCTGTTTCGACAGGCAGAGATGGAAGAGGTCAGAAGGTTGAGTGGAAATTTGAAGAACTGGCCTGCAGCCAAGCTGGAGCTTATGGAAGGGGGCTAAGTTCAGGCTCATTACTGCAGAACTTCTGTAAGGCCTTTTATAAGGGATCTGAGGTCGAGATGACAGAACTGAGACCTTTGATCTACCTTGTGGGAGCCTGAATAGCTCTTTCTACAGGGTTTTTATCATGAACTCAAATGAAATGGGAAGTTCTTACAGAAGCCTGGCAGCACCCCAGTGTCTCCAAGTATTTCTGGGACACTTTAGTCTTTTTTCATTCACGTTATTTGCACACATGGCCATTTCCATGCTACCTACTAACAGTCTTTGTATGCTCATGTCTCAAAGCCACCATTACAAGTGTCTCATTTTTCTTTTCCACCTCCTGGCTTATTTCTTATTTGCACAAGAGCTTTTCCATTACCGGGGGCAGTTTAGGGCTGCTTACTGCTTTTGCATTTCATAATGGCAAGGCTAGGGCAGCAGCAATGTGGCTAAACCAAAGTTATATGGGAATATCACTCCTATGTCTTGCTGTTCATCTCCACATTGAAATGCAGTTATGCAGAAGATAACTATTTCCTTTTTGTAGGTAGCCTCACCCTAAAACTTTCTTTGCAGAAATGAGGTCCTTGCTTCAGTTTCATTTCATACTTTCCTTTTGCACATCTCTTCCATAGATGTGGCACATTGTCAAAGGAAAATGGAGAGGTGACTTCATTGCTGGAAATCTTCACATACTAAAAAAAACCCTAAACTAAGAATGAAAATGTTTGCCTGATTGAAAATAGTAATGGTCCAATGACTCCTTTGCTTTTTGTCCCTTGAGTCCTATGGATTCTACCAATCACCCAGGTAACAGCTGCAGCCAGGAGAACCTGAAATTAAGAAACAGAAGCAAAACAAACCCTGAAATATCAGGACAAGAAACGCGCTTCAGATGCTGAAGCTCCCTGTCATCTTTTTCTAATTTCACTGCTATTTCTTCTACTCCATTCATGACTAAAAGTCTCACAGTTAATCTAATGTCTTCCTCTGTACTGACTGGTGAATGATTCTTCAGAGAGGGAAGAATCTTCCACCACACATCTCAGGCAAGCACTGGTGCAGGTGGGCACACCATCACCAGCAATTCTGTATGATCAAGAGCTTTTAGCTTTCTTTGTTATAGTAAAAGAGCACCAAATAGTATTGATTATCAAACGAGGAAAATTTGTCCTGGAGTATCTTCCTTCTGTTCTGCATTTTCAATGCAGCTTCAAAAAAGCATACAGGTTCTTCAAATAACCAAAGTACTATACTTTCCTTACAGGAATAGGTTACCCAGCATGAACTTTGAAGCAGAGATTCTGGCAGATCCACACGATAATTCAGGTATTTGGAAGTAAACAAACAAACAAACAAACAAAGAGATAAAAGTAAAATGCCCATTCACCATATATATATCTTAATTCTCTTGGCAACAGAATTGGAAATTGTTAAAGGAAGAAAAAGAAAGAAACAGGGTGCTACATTGTATTCAGGTGATCAATCTGAGATAGATATTGATATCTGTACCTCCAGTTGGGCTGGATGTTGAATCCCTATTCATACCTCACAGAAACACAGCAGCCAGGGACGCGGGTTTCTGAAACTGCATAAGCATCCATGTAAGGTTCCTCACTTCAGTTAGGAGGAAATTAGGGTAGGAGCTGATTTTTTTTCCCTTCTCAACACTGCCTTTTCAGTGCTGATCTCGGATGTTGAGGTTGGCACTACCGCTGCATCCTTGATGTAGCCATCTGTCTGAGATAGACCCTAGAGACAGCATTTAGCTGAATGACATCTTTGAGTGAGCCTGCAGTCTTAGTCTTATCACTGCTCCTCAGACTCAAGCAGCTGGCCATTGTCCCCGTGCAGGAGCAACATCTTTAGTATGAGACATCAGGAAAGCTGGATTTTGCAATAATTGCTTGTAGCCCCTTGAGTTGCCTGGGCCTTGGTTCAGAACTGGAAATCTTAGTTCTGGTGTGTAAATATGAGCCCATCCAACTGAAATGCTTTTGCTGCCGATTGCCCTCATGGCCACAAGCCATGGCTCCTAGTGGGAATTCACCTCCCTGGCAGTGTATTGCAGTCCCATGTCAGTGAGAGCCAGAAATGAGGCACACGGGGTTAACTATTTTTGCTTCAGCTGCAGGTGTGCATCACCCCTAATAGCAAGTGTGCCAACAGCTGGGGGTTTCATTCATCCTATCCAGCATGTGTGAGAACCACAACTCTTCCAGAACCTCCTGAGCAATCATCTTCACCTTCTTGCCAGAAATACACTCCCTTTCTGCAACCCAAGTAGCATCCAGCTAAACACCTCCAGGAAATTATGGGTACATCTTCCTCAAGGCAACATGCAGTAATGACCATCGCTTAACATGCTGGTGTCAAAGGACATCAAAGAGTAATTTTTGTATCTTTAGTGTCAACAGACTGAGTTTTCACATGAGCCCATGTGCATGGATGGCTCCTGGGCTGTGTGACCTCTGCACCATCTTCCCGAATCTCTGGCTTCTGTTGGGTTGGGCTGGGTTTGGTTTGGTTTCTTCCACGAGGTAAGTGCTTTGATCCTTCATTTGCCCGGAAGTTACTAACACACCATTCATATTTGTTTCTCAAGAGCTGTATGTCATCCCTTCCATGAGAAGTCTCACGGCTGAGGAGTATGTAGAGGCCTTTCAGTCATTTTTGGATCACTCAACAGAGCACCAGTGCATGGATGAGTTCAACAAGGAAGTGATGCCACACATCATGGCTGGGTAAGGAGCGTGTCCACTGAGGTGGTAAGGCCATCTGTGACCTTGGGTCAGCAAACATCTTGGAGGATGACAGATTTTCTGGGGCACGAATGAACTTCTAATGCTTTTAAGTTTTGATTCCATTAACAGCAGCCTTTCAAATATTCTGTTTAAGTGCAATTTCAATTAATAACCTGTGCTTCTTCTCTGCTTATGTAAAGGAAAGAATCAAGACCTTATTTGCATGTCCATCTGCTTTCATTAGCTGATTTTCCAAGGATTAAAGCGTATTGAATTTTTTTTCTTTTCTTTTTCTCTTTCTTTCTTTTTTCCTTTTTTCCTCTATCTCTTTATCTACCTACCTACCTACCTATCTATCTATCTTTTTTTCCCCAGAATGAAGCTTCCCTGTTCTTTCTTCCTACTTTTGGGACTTCCTCACACATCAGTCCAAAAGAACATCTTTAATTCCATTGTAATGACTAACTCTTGGTTTCCTCAGTCCCCTAAGACTCCTTATTTCTATCCCAAGTTAATTTGCATTGCTTAAGCATCAAATGATAATCAGTTTTGTGAAGTACTGATGTAATATACTAAGCCTGTGTGACTGTAGATAGTTTCAGAACAGGCTAGATCCAAGCTACAAGAAAACAGTTTCAAGTCTGGATAATTGCTGGATATTGTGGAAAGTATGTTCTCCTTAGAGAAAAAAAAGGCAGATAACTCCAGACCACACATTATATCTGTCTATCTATCAACCTGTTTCTCAATCAATCTATCTATCCAATGCAATAGAGGTAACAATAAAGAAAAAAATTGTTTGAGGAAATGCTAGAAGAAATATTTCTAAATATTTCTTCATGTGAATTTTAAACAATTTTGTTTGCTGGACCAATACAAAATATTGCAGCTTAGTAGGATGCTAGTGAATATGCTGTGTAGAAAACCAAACTTGTCTCCCGAGGGTGCAGAGATTTGCCCCATTTTGCCTTGTCCCCACAGCCTCAGCCAGGCACAGCTCTGCTCCCTCGATGGGAACTTCTCGCTCTGGGTTTTCTTGAGGCCTTTATGCGTGGTGTCAGCCATGGCTTGAAGAAAACTCTGGCAGGGGAATAGAAATCCTATATCCTGCTCCTTACTGTACTTTGAAATATGAGCCTGCTCATACAGGGTAAGCTCCTGCCATGTAGTAAGTTATAGCTGAGTTCCAAAGGGATGCTCAGATTTCATGTGGCACGTCACAGTTAAATTGGGCCAATATGGTATCCAAGATGTTATAATTAAAATATAGAATTATGTGACACGCTGTGGTTGAGTAACATGTACTTGTAATTTCAGTCTCGGCAATGGAAAATCGACTGTAAACATTCTGGGAGTGGGGAGCGGCACAGGTAAGGAGCTGAACAGCACAGCAGATGCTGGGGAATGGTGGTCCTTGGGGAAAGGGAAAGTACTACCCAGGTTTTGAGCTATGGGGAGAACTGTTCATGCATTAATAACACTATTTCTCGTGGCAATCTCTTGATGGCTGTCATCTGGCCTCATGTTTCTAAAATCAAGGAATCTTTCATTAGATTAAGTAGGAAAGCATCTTCAAACCTCACTGGAAAGACTTTGAGTGTCTGGAAGGTTGTTCCCACCCACAGGTCCCATCCTAGATTCTCCCACCCAAAGGCTCTTCCCACTTTATGTTGCTTTCAGGGCCACGAGGGGCTGTGGAGATGGACATGGGCCGGCACAACTACCAGCATGGCACCTAGTCAGCTTCTTCAGGTTGGGTTTCTTTGTTACAGCTCTGTCTTTATCCAGAGATTACTAGAGTTTAGCTGCAAATGGTATTTCCCCCCAGAGATGAAAAATCTTTTGGAAGAAATGGCTTTAAAGCTGTTCTAAATGAACAGTGAAACATCCGGCTTTGCTCCCAGGGAATCTGGAAAAGAGTAAAAAAAGAAAAGTAGAGAAAAGAAGTAGCAATTCAATTTATCAGTTTGATTTTGCTTTAAAAAGTATTTTCAGCTGAATTATAAGTGTTAATACTTTCTAGTGAAAGCATTTTTTCTCGCTCTGTCTGCTTGTTTTCCTGAGTAAGACAAAAATAACAGAGGCTGTTTTCCCCAGCTGGGAATATGTTGTAGCATATGAGAAAGCAAGGAGGAAGAAATCATTCAATTCTCAATTACACTTCTTTCTCATTATGTACTGTAACACCGAAATTCTGTCTGACTCCAAGAAAACATGAGGGAAAGGAAAACCCTTTACATTACCCACATTTTTCCTTATTTCCTCTTCAGAAGAACTTTCAGTGAGAAAGTAAAAGCCCTAAGACATTCTAGCAGGGATGCACGCTCCCATCTTGCAGTGCCAAGGCTGCCTGAGCCGAACCTGCGCGGGCGGCATGGGAGTGAGCCAGCATGGCACCGAGCAAAAGGTCAAGTGTGATCCCTGACCTTCTGAGGCTTGGACTCTGATTTCACACGGCCCGAATCAGTGTAGTCAACTGAACTATTAATGGGGGTTGTGACCTGCTCTGCATCCTGAAAGGCTGCTGCTTGATCCCGGTCACGCTTTTTCATTCAGCCCATGTTCCCCATGGCTGGTGCAAGCATCTTGGCTGTCAGCTGCTGGTAAGGATCAGGCAGGTTGTGGTTTGCAGGGTATTTCACTCTTGCTTCAGCAGTGTCCCAGTGTGGCTTGTGCTGAAGGGCTGCTGCTGGCAGCTTCCTTGATTTTCTCCAGGAGGCACATGAGCCTGAGAATGGGACAAATCTTGAGCAGCATCAGCTTGTGTTGAGTTGCCATGGTCCATCATTATTGTATCATCAGCATCTTTATATTTAAGTTGGCTGGAATTTCCCTCCTTAAATTCTACTTGCTATAACACCTAGCAGAGATGTCAGTTCTTGTCATAGTTAGTCCAGAAGGTCAGAGAAGATACAGGATCTGGTATCGAGTGCCCTGAGTGTACAGTTTGCATGGACAGGAGAATTTCTAGGCCCCACCCTCAACAGCAAACAGGATTCTCGCGGAGATCCATTCAAAGTGATCATCTCTGCTGTTTCTTTCCGTAATCCCACATGAACCAGATGAGTTTTGAACACTTAGCACATCATGGCCTTTTTGGTAGGAGCAAAGGTGACCTGCATCACCTCAAAAGGCACTGGGGATTTCCTAGGACAAGACAGGCTGATGCTTATTCCTCCAGAGCTCAGAATGTCTTGGAGGAGCAGCAGTAACTAAATATGAAGAGCAATTACATGATGCTCAAGCTGCAAATCTGTGAGCCTTTATTTGCAGCTCCAATATAACAGCTGGATAATGGATGCCCAGACCATGTAGCCTGACTCCAGAGGAGACTGACTCACTGCGTATCCCCAGCTCTCCAAGCAGTGTCACACCTGTGACAAAGCAGCTGTCACCTCCCCAGGGCAGCACCAACGTCAAAGCTGCATGGTTGTGTTGACTCTCTCCTTGTTCCTCATTTTAACTGTGTTCTTCTCAAAAAACTTATGTTTCCTATTGTAAAGAATATTACCATTAGTAGGTTTCTGCTCTGTTGCTTATCTCTTCTTTATTCTTGGGGTTATCTGCAAATAATGTTACCTTGCCAGCTGGGGCACTGGCATCCTTTCATCACCACTCAACTGTTTTTAAAAATAACAGATTTGTGTTTATTGAATAGGTGAACAGGATCTAAAAATGATCCAGATCCTGCAGGCTGCACACCCAGGGGTCCTTATTAACAACGAAATCATAGAGCCCAACCCACAGCACGTGGCTGCCTACAAAGGTGAGGCATCTCGGGCCCCTCTGCCATCTGGGGTATGGCCAAGACCATTGATTTGTATGATCATTTTTTATGCTGTCCTGTGAAATTTGTGTTTTGTTTCTACTTTTTAAACAGAGCTGGTTAATCGAGCCCCAGATCTGCAGGGGGTCTCTTTTACTTGGCACCAGCTTACTTCCTCGGAGTATGAACAACAGGTGAAAGAGAAAAACACACACAAGAAGTTTGACTTCATCCATATGATTCAGGTAAGACATTCAGTACTGCTGTTTTTAACTACTTGGTGAGTATGGTGTGAGTATGGTGAGCTGTGCAAAGAACTTGCCTAAAAACTTAAAGGGATGCACACATCTCCCAGCCACAAAACTGGCAGCAATGGCAGGGAAGCGTCAGAATTGGTGTTAAGCACCAGTTCTGCACAAGCCTTGCAGGGCTGGAGTAGGAATAACTGCATGCAGCTCTCCCTTCCAGATGCTGTACCGTGTGGAAGATATTCCTAACACCATCAAGTTTTTCCACAGCTGCCTCAACCATCAGGGTAAACTCCTGATCATAATTCTGTCAGGTAAGAGAGGCCTCCCATTTTTGCATCGTTCCTATGAAGTATGAAAGCCAGCTATAATTGCCTTGGGATTTCAGTAGCACTAATTCTATAGCAGTTAAACAAAACAAATGTTTTCATGAGCTTGGACTGTTGGACCCCAGTGTCTGATGGAACCACATGGATGTAACCTGCATGCTCTTGCTTCCCTGCATTTAAAGTAGATGAATGACTCTGTGAAATTATTGCCTAGAGAGAAGAGCAGCTGTGCCTGGAAGAAGGCCAGTCCTTGTTCATGGTGAAATGAGCACCATGCAAAGACAGCCTGAGCTCTGAGGCTCTTCTCTCCACACAGCAATGGCCAAGACTCAAGCAGGACAAAGGGAGCTGCCTAGACCTGTGGGCTTTGAAAAGGAGACACTTATAATATTGCCATACTTGTTTTTTAAAAAGTGTTTTTTTTTTTCAGTGTGTCATTCTCGAGTCCCCAGCTGGTGGTGTGGTGAATAAAACACAGTTCCCCGTGTTAAGCATTAAGCCTTCCACCAGAAGTAGTGGGGAGGCTGATCCAGAATGAGCTTTTTAGGTGTATGCTTTTAGACGTGCCTGATCTTCCTCCCCTCCACAGACAGCAGCGGTTGGGCCAGCTTATGGAAGAAGTACAGGCATTGCTTGCCTTCAACTGACAGCGGCCACTACATCACCTCCGACAGCATCACGGCAGTTCTGAGGAAGCTCAGCATCAAGTACCACGTTTATGAGTTCCCATCGGGTTGGGACATCACTGAGTGCTTCATTGAGGGGGACCCAGCTGGAGGCCATATGATGGATTTCCTGACAGGGACAAAAAATTTCCTGGGCACAGCACCAGCAGCTCTGCGGAGCCGCCTGCAGGAAGCTCTCTGCCAGCCCGAATGCAGCAGCAGGAAGGATGGGAGAGTCATTTTCTGCAACAATCTCAGTATGATTGTAGTGGAATCCTAGAGCCTGGACCAATTTGCAGAGGTGACGTAGGGCAATGCAATTGTCCAAATGGCAAAGCAGAGATAGGCAGGCAGTAGAGCAGGGTTCATCCATCCCAGTCTGAGAGGATGGAGTGGCCTGTGATGTCAAGGATGAATTCTTTGTTCTGCTGAGCTCAAGAGTTCACCCTGGATTGTTCAGTATTGGCAGAATTTGTTTCAGAATGTAAAAAGCTGTATTATACTACAAGCCTGCATGGAAAGTATTTTATTATAGAATTGCAGAATTGTTTGAGTTGGAAGGGACTTTTAAAGGTCATCTAGTCCTAGTTCCCTGCAATGAACAGGGACGTGCACAGATAGATCAGTTGCTCAGAGCCCTTGAATTGATCTTGAATTTCTTCAGGGATGGGGCTTCCACCATGTCTCTGGGCAGCCTGTGCCAGTGCTTCACAACCTATATTGTAGAAATCTTTTTCTTATATCTCATCTAAATCTCCCCTCTTTTAGTTTGAAACCATTTCCCTTTTTCCTATTATAACAGAGCAGAGCTGCTAAAGAGGCTGACCCCTTCTTTCTCATTGATCCCTTTTAAATACTGAAAGTCCACTCTCAGCTCTCCCTGGAACCTTCTCCAGGCTGAACACCCCCAGCTCTCAGCCTGTCCACATAGGAGAGCTGTTCCATCCTTTGGATCATTTTTTGTGGTCCTCCTCTGAATGCACTCTGAAAAGTCCATGTCTCTCCTGTACTGAGGACTCCACATCTGGACACAGTACTCCAGGTGAGGTCTCATCAGCACAGAGTAGAGGGGCAGGATTGCCCTCTTCTCCCTGCTGCCCATGCTTCTTTTAATGCAGCCCGGGATACAGTTAGCTTTCTAGGCTGAGGGCAATTGCTGGCTCATGTCTGGCTTAGCACCCACCAGTACCCTCAGGTCCTTTTCCGCAGGGCTGTGCTTTTTCCTATTATACCCCAGCTTTTATTGATAGTGAAGGTTTCCACTTTCCAGGTTTCTGACCTTGCACTGGGCTTTGTGGGCCCACTGCTCAAGCCTGTCTAGGTCTCTCTGGATGGCATCCCATCCCTCAGATGTGTTGACTGCACTACACACCTTGGCATCATCCATAAGCTTGCTAATTGTTCACTCAGTCCTGTTACTGAGGTCACTGATGAAGATGTTAAAGAACACTGGTCCCAGCACTGACCCCTCAGGGACACCACTGATCTCCATACAGACATTGAGCCATTGACCACCACTCTCTGGTATGCATCCTCTCTATGCTTTTGATGCTGGGAATTCCAGCTTTCTATGCAGACAACATGTTTACATACCTGAAAATGTGTCCATGTGACACCATATGATGCCCCCACACCAGCAGCATATATGCACTGGTTTCTTACAACAGTACCTGGACGAGACCTGCAAGGTATCCCCACTGCTTTGCACTAAGCATGTGCCTCAGTGCACCCTGACAGGAGCATGCTGCTCTGCACTAGGTTTTTTGGTGGTTTTCTTTTTTTTTTTTTTTTTTTAAATCAGCATTGTTATTTACTACCCCAAACACCTCAGCATCTCGTAATATAGATGTCTTAACATTTTTTTTCCACCTTTTTGTTTGGAGAATTTCTGGATTCCGGGATAATACTTGCCCTGCACTCGTTCAGGCAGGTATTAATTTTGTTACTTTCTTTCTACTGTTTTTTTCTCCATACAAAATAAAAGCCATTTTGAAACAGAAAATGTCACATCTTGCTCTGTCTAAGTGGGCTTAGAGAAAATGAAGAACGAAGAGGTTATTAAGTTAAAAATAGAGAAATGCAAAGTACCATTTTATGGAAACACTAAGTGCTTCTTGTAAGTGAGAAAAGTGACCCTGAGGATGTGTGCAGACACATTTGCATTGCTGCAGCCCATGTGCTGTGCCTGCCCTTGGGGTGACATCACCACAGCACCTATATTACTTAAATACAATGAATAGGCTTATGATGGTCATGCAGGTAAGTCAAAACCTCACTCTGCACTTTGGGCCATGGAACAAAGAGAAAAGCTGTGGAAAAACAGTAGTTTGACTTCACCTCTCTGGAAGGACCATGGCTTCATGATCTGTAAGTACTTTTTCTTTGCTGTTGGTCTAAGAAATGTTAATCCACACTGGAGAGCCTCCTTTAGAGCCTCCTCCATCCTGTACCTTGTGCACAAGCTTTCTGTTTTGATCCATACTGTTCTTATTCCATAGCTGGCTCCTCTGCTTTCTCACAGCACTGGGTGGGGAGTATATGGTTGGCCTGGTGGAAGGCTGTTAGCACTGCTCCAATCAACATCCTCCCTCCACTATTAATTCCCATCGTTTATTTCCAGGTGTTAATTAAGTCTTTGCCTCTCCTTGGTAAAATAAAAATAAAAACATATATATAGCAAATATTAGGCTTCCTTTTCAAGCTTTAAAGTACCACCTACCTTATATGTTACCCCAGATCTTCCCCAGCCAAACAGCACTTATGGTCTCACTCCTCTGTGGAGTTTCCTATGCATCTGAGCATATAGATGTGTTTCCAGTAAGCAGATGCTGAAAGAAAAAAAAGATCAGTGAGAACAAAATTTACTCATATCTTTGTAAATCAATGCACAAATGCTCAAAAGAAAAGGAGCACTTCAAAGCAGACTGTTCAACAACAGCGTAGGGAGATGAAATGGGGCACCCCCATTAGAAACACCACTGCTTAATGCTTTAGCTGCAATTTTCCTTTTGATTCTTGAAAAGCAAGTCATTTAACAAGTCATTTAACAACAACTCTTCTTTTATACATGGAGCAAGTACTATTCTGAGCATCTATTCCTTTTATTTATATATTTACTCTTGCTTTAATATGGTATCTATTAGCTATTAGTGGTGCTTTTTAAGATACGCTGCCTTCCCACGTATAAATTCTATCTTTGAGCTGACCACGAGAGGGCTGCAGCAGCCAATGGATTGTGTCTGGCTTACTTGGATGCTGAGCTGAAGGAACAGAGCCAAGCAGGCAGGCTCACACTGCTCTGCCTGGGCTGTGCTTGCTTCACTGAATCCATGCATCTGCAGGTTTGTGACTGCTGGGATAGTTTGCTGCACAGTATCTGTATTAATAATGTATTAATAGCGTTTCTTGAAACACCAAGCTTTGCTTCAGGTGCTAGCCTTGGAGCTCCCTTGGGAGAAGGCAACAGAGGCAAGATCTAGACGTGGCAGAGCAGTTCTCACACAGCCTAATCCAGGACTAAGGGCTGGTCCTTCGGTATCAGGCCATATCTCTAAAAAGGTATTTATCACTTTAATTCTTAAACTCAAATATTTTTAAAGGTTGGGTCCTGCAGGCAGAACAACCTTTTTAGAGTTCAAAACATCTTTATTATTAACCATTGCTTCTTGAAGTAGCTTACTTCCAATACTCAAGTGTCAGCAGATAAATTGTGCTAGAAGATGAGAGTTCTGGTGAGGTCTCATAAGATGTCTGTGGTCCAGTGAGTGCGTGGTCAGTCTGCCACATGCCAAACTGTGAGGAAAGCAGATGGCAAAACCTTCAATCTGACGTATGTTGGTATGGACTTAATGGACAGTACAAATAACCACACCCACACACAGCAGTGTGTGCTTACATCCAATCCCAACCCAACCCACTTCATCCCATCCAAGCAGAGCAGCTCCAGGCTGGTTGGGGAGAAGCAGACCATTTTGGTGATGCTCCTTCTGACTTGTTTCACCAAAAAAGCACTCAGCAGGGTGAGCATCTCAGGGTCCAGACAGATGCCCCTAATAACATCTGCTCCCCTGCTCCTCCTTCCTCAGTCAGTCAGATCAATTCTGCTGGGAAGTGCCAAAATTCAGATGTGCATCCCTTCAGAAATTACAAAGCAATGGGAAAACAAACCTTACAGCTTATCTGCCTACTATGAATAGACAATTTCAGTAGGACACAGGGCCTGGGTCTGCAGCATGACCATCCAGAGGGTGTTGTGGACCAGTCCTCCTCCACTGTGTTATCTGACGCTACTGGTTTTAGGGAAAAGAGCAGCTGTCCCAAAATGTGTTGTTCAGCCCCAATTCTTTAATTTTTTGTTCAAGCAGGAGGGAAATAAATAAATAAATAGATCGAGCAATCATTAGATAAGTAAATAAGTAATCAAATAACATTTTAAAAATTGCTCCAAAAATTTTGAAGAATACAAGAGAGAACAAGCTCCTGCTGGAAAGACCTTGGGTTTGCAGAACATATGAGCAGGGCAGATCCCAGCGGGGCTTTTCATCTCTGAGAAGGAATGAGGAAGAGCAGGACAGGAGCTTCATTTCCACTAGTCAGTTCCCGATAGTCTGATGACACTTTTGGTTAGATCTGCCAGCAAGTTTGGAAAGAAAACATATGTTTTGTCATACATCATAAGGATGGTACCTCTGGTGAATTTAGAAACGTGATAAGGAAAGTTTCAGAGCTGTCTCTCGGTCCCTACTGCTTTGCTAACATTTTTTAGCACTCTGTATGTATCTGTCAACAGCTGATACTATGGATTAAGGCAGATTACAGCTCATTGCTCCTGTGGCTGTTTTCTCCAGGCTGTAATTCAATGGGCACTTTGCCATTGACTTCGCAGTGACAAGACCAAGGCCCGTGTGTTTATGTACACTCTGCAGTGCTTTCCTATCTCAGAGTGGTTTTACTTTATAAGGTGTCCAAATGATCAGCTGCAGGAATAAATTAATTTTGTTACTTCCAGGATAAGGGCTGAGGTACTTTTCATGCTGAACAAACTGTCTGATGATCCTGATTTGCAGGTCTTTTCCTATAGATAAATGTTGACTTTGGTTTGTTGTGCGTATACAGACTGTGTTGCATGTCATTTGGGAAAAGGGGAAGGTATTTGAGGAAATTCAGGGAAAACTTCTACAGATTTAATACATTTAACTGACAAACTTTCCTCATCACCAACAAGTTGTTCTCTGATTTTCAATATTGTTTATCCCTTTTGGAAGGAAAAAAAAATCCTTT